CACCGCTTCCATTCTTTATAGTCGTGATCATGCGGTGATGAAGCAGCACTGTTTTATTATAATAAATACATAGGAAGGTTTTTTATAACATATTAAAATGTCTTTTATGTTTTCCTGTTTTTTATAAATCCAAGCCAGAAATCAAGGGTGTGTGACACCATAAGCATGGCAAACATTCTTTGAAACATTTAGGACAATGTAAGTACATAACTCATAAAATACTTAACACTGTTATACAAATTGTTTTTTGGAAAATATGAAGGAAAAATCACATAAATAACATTTAAATGGCCAAGTACCAAACCTCCAAAATCAAGATTTCCAAATAAGTATACACTTCCAGCAAGGTTGACCTCATTCTAACTCAAGCACAAAATAAATTATGTGTTTTGTGAATCTCTATGTGGGATTGATTGTAAAAACATCTGTTTTAACAACCAGACTCCTATATGTCCCACTCTGTTGGATTTTATCGGGTGGGTCAGGGATGTCACCAAATGGTTAAACGCTATCTACAGTGCTATAGAGATGCAAAGCTGCAATCGTTCTGGTTAATAATTTAGCATTTCTTATAAATGTTGCAAGCAGTGTAGCTGTTTGCAGTGAGCCGAGCAAAGTTCAGCAAACTGGTCCTCTGAGATTTGATTTGCAAACAATATGTTTGTGGTTCCAAAGAAACTGAAATAATGAATTATCACCTTTACATAAAATTTTATATCATCCCACCATTTCCACCATCTTCACTAATCACCTTTATTTAAAAGGTTAAAAACATTTATTTACAGTTAGTGTGCTCCACTTTAGTATATGTCAAAATCAGCATATCCTTATTTTGGTATTATGCTCCATTGATTTGTTCAGTTGCTTCTCTCAGTTTGTCATGTTGTCACATAATATTTTCTTTTTTTAGTTGCTTGCCATGGGGTGAGCAGACGTCCATGTTTTCTGGGGATTGCTTTTTGGTATTCTGACCTCACCCGCAGCTGTCCTCGAAAATGTCCCTGTTTTCCAAAAAAATATACCACATAAAGCCTCACTAGCATATGCTGCTTGCAAATACAGCAATCATATTGTGATTATTTTGACTAGGTGAGGGGGCTGTAAGCTATCATGAGTATTTAGTTATGCATTGCTACTTTACTGAGAAATTAACTGAACAGATCATCATTTATTGAAACAGACACTGTTGTCAGTTTAGTTGTAAGTGATAAATGTACTAAGTCATTGTGTTTGTATGTTTAATAGGGTCTTAACAGGGTCACATGTTTGATAGTAAGAGTTGGTTTGGTTTAGTTTGGAAGGTGATTTAAATTGTAGCTGGTTAGTATGGCTAGTAATGCTTTAACAAATACTAAAATTCCAATGGGGAAAATATTATCTGGAAAAATTCTTATGGAACTGCTCTTGATCTTCTATTCACAATTACAATTATAAAAGTATGAATTTTGATTGTGATTAAAAATGTATTGCCCATATTTGTATTCTAGTTTTTATAGTTTCTGTGGTATTTTGACCAATGTCACTTTATTCTGTTGATTTGGGTGTACAACAACCATATAGTTCATAGTTCACCCACAGTTGCATTTTAAAATAAAGCACAATCTAGCAGATGTAAAAAATAATGACAGTGCAACTATGCTGATAATAAATGTCAACACATTTTTAAAAATTGATATTTTAGAGTATTGATTTCTTTTGGTTAGAGTACACTTGCATTACCAAGGCAACACTGCATTTGTATTAACATTCCATTATCGGTAGCTCCGTAATCGGCACCACAATGGAAAATAAAACCTCATTCATGCTGGCAGAGCTGGATCTACACCAATCATAAAGGTTAGGCAAAGAGAGGCCATCAACATATTAACTGAGCAGGAACAATGGACAACGGGTGAACAAATAGTCAATAAATAGCGGGAGCAATTTGGTGTGGAATGAAATCCAACAAGAGCACAACTGAAAACACAGTCCTACACAGATCTCTAGGCTATATGTTTGGGTCCATTTGGGACGGATTCTATGTCCGGACCCGGACTGTAAGCCTGTTAGTTACCTTTCCTGTAGTGTGTTTGCCATCTGAAACATGCAACAAAGCCAATACAGGCTCTTTGGGAAAATGTGCCAAGAGATACATTTCTGAAAACTGAAGGTACATAATGGCTGCATTATATTTGAGAAATGAACACTACTGGGCAATACCGCTGTCTGCTTACCTCCATATAGATGGCTTTTCCAGCATGACTGGTTTACTTACCATAAATGGCGCCAGACGTGGGAGGTGGAGCAAAGGTTTGGGGAAGGTGTAGACTTGAATAACTGTGAGGATTGGGGAAGGTGTAGACGTTAATAACTGTGATGGTTGGGTTAGGGTTGGGGAAGGTGTAGACGTTAATAACTGTGATGGTTGGGTTAGGGTTGGGGAAGGTGTAGACGTTAATAACTGTGATGGTTGGGTTAAGGGTTGGGGAAGGTGTAGACGTTAATAACTGTGATGGTTGGGTTAGGGTTGAGGAAGGTGTAGACGTTAATAACTGTGATGGTTGGGTTTTGGGTTGGGGAAGGTGTAGACGTTAATAACTGTGATGGTTGGGTTAAGGGTTGGGAAAGGTGTAGACGTTAATAACTGTGATGGTTGGGTTGAGGGTTGGGGAAGGTGTAGATGTTAATAACTGTGATGGTTGGGTTAAGGGTTGGGAAAGGTGTAGACGTTAATAACTGTGATGGTTGGGTTAAGGGTTGGGAAAGGTGTAGACGTTAATAACTGTGATGGTTGGGTTAAGGGTTGAGGAAGGTGTAGACGTTAGTAACTGATGGTTGGGTTTAGGGTTGTGGTTGGTAGACGTTAATAACTGATGGTGCGGTTAAAGCTTGGGGTAGGTGTAGACGTTAATAACTATGATAGTGGGTCTGAAGTTGGGGTAGGTATAGATATTTTTAACTGTGATGGTTGGGTTTAGGTATGGAGTTAGTATAGACATTAACAACTGTGATGGTTGGGTTAAGGGTTGGAGTAGAAATAGACGTTTATAACTATGATGCTTGGGTTTAGGGTTGTGATAGTTGTAGACATTAATAACTGTGAAGGTTGAGTTCAGGTGTGGAGTAGGTATAGACGTTATGGTTGGGTTAAGGGTTGGGGTAGTTGATAACTATGATGGTTGGGTTTAGGTGTGGCATAGGTGTAGATGTTAATAACTAATGGCTACAGTGCCATCTTGCCAACAATAGGTTACATATGATATGGGTCTCCATAATTTCAAGTTACGTCTCTAGTTACGACCCTTCTTGTTATGCCCCTGTCTAACAGACAGACCCTACTCAGAAAACATGCCCCATTAAATTATTTAAGATTGTCAAAATGTACAGGATGACCTCTAGTTGGTTTGTGAAAACAAAAACTGTAACATAGTCCAGGGTACATATTTCTATGTTCTCAAAAATGTATCTTATATCTCCATTGAGCCTGGGTTTAAGAAACGTACCCAGAGCAACAAAGTTTACATTTTACCAAAATGTAGACAGAGGCACATATTTCCAATGCAAATATCATCGTTATAAAAGCACACAACGCATCGTGTCTTATTTGTGACGGGGCCTATTTTAGTAATTGCTCTTATGGGTCATATATCAGGAAAGTGACAAATGATTTATATGGGCAAAAAATTGGAGGACATGTTAATGTGCTTTCATCAAGATCATTTTAAACAAACTCTCTTACCGGTAATAAAAAGCAATCAGCAAACTACCACACCAAGAGCCTGTCAGAAACAAAGGGCCCAGATGTAAATTCTTTCTCGTGGAGCCACTTCAGGCAATCACACTCACAGTGAGACCCGTTCCTTCTCTTCATGCCAGAAGAGAAGTTCTGTCAGCTCAGATTTTCGTGGATAAGGAAATGTCAGAGCGCGGAGGGCTATGATGCTGCTGAAATGAGCTGTCTGTGTGCCACTCTGCTCACTCTTACTTGTATTTTCAGGAAAGCTTTGACGTGGCTCTTTGTCTAAAATCTATTCCCACATCTCTCTAAAACATTAGCAATTATTTTTAAGATGAAGCTGTAACATACATTAGTCGACTTTTCTCCTTGTGAAAATCTGCCCACAGGAAAAAGAGAAAATTGACCGTATATAAAAGTCAAGCACTCTGTCAGAGGAGTCTGCTTCTGGGAAATGGCCTAATGGATTTGCAAAGATTTTCCTGTTTATTGTTCCATAAATAAGCTTGGGATAAATTCTGCCCTCTGTTGTTTTTGGAAATGTAGGTAAAAGTGTTATTTCATAAATTGCCCTCCATTTCTGAAGTGAGGGTTTTTTTTTATAGTGGATCACACATCCTGTGTGACTGTCAAGATGATAGTTTCCCTGCACTCTGAGCTTTAAAAGGTCACACACAAATAAAAGATGAGAGGATTTTTCTGGGTGCAGTGCCTCAAAGGTCAAATGAATATGATAGTAGTGTTTCAACTCACAAGAAAACATTTATATGAGCATTGTGTTTTAGGTTTTTAAATTAGAAAACTATATTTAAAATAAAAAAAAAATGTATATGCATATTTCAATTTTATTTATTTATTTATTTTTGCTTGTTTGGCATCTGGAAAATGTGAAACTCAAAGGGTTAGTTTACCCAAAAAGTTTGATTCAGTTATTAATTACCCACCCTTATGTCACTCCAAATCACTGACCCGTTTATTCATTTTTTGATGCAAATTAAGATATTTAATTGTCAAGAAAAGATAAGATGAAATCCCAAGGATCTCTGACCCTGCATAGACATGCAACATTCCTGAGACATTCAGTCTAGAAAAGGAACCAAAAACTTTGCTAAATCATTCTATGTGATTTATGAAGTAAGTGGTGATATGAAGAACATTTTTGTAAAACTGTAAAACAGGCTTTGTTGAACCTGATAATCACTGCCTTTTTGAGCAAAACTTCAAGAAAATTTGTAGATATTTGTAAAATGGGGATATTTTGTTTTGTCCATCTGTTTTTGCACAGGCCCGGTTTTCATACCTACACATGAAGTTCCTGTTTTTCTCCTGGTTGGCGGTTTTCGTGGGAAGCTGGGTGGTGTACGTTGAATACTCTTCATACACAGAGCTGTGCCGGGGACACGAGTGCAAAAACACTATTGTGAGTTTTTATTTCTTTACTATATACTTTATTAATAGGTATTTCTTGATTAATAACATTTTCTTTATTTTTCAGAAATGTATTTTTTTATTTACTCAGTTACTATGACTTTGACAAATGTTTATGTAAAAATAATTGACATTTTTATGGTTTAGGTTTTAAGCTACAATAACCCTGCAGAAAATATACATTGTACATTTAACTTTGCTTCGAATAACAAAACAATAAATCCATGATGACCCTCCTTTTCAAAATAAATAAATAAAAAGAAAGAAAAATATAATGAGACTGACTCATTAATAGTCATAGTAGTCAAAAGAGAGTTGACAAACTTGCTGTCATTCAACTCAATTGTTTTGGGGGGAATGTGGTAGGTGCCTGTTAAATGATAGTACAAAAAAAGTTGAATATTTGAGTATAAAAAAGTTGAGTATAAGATGAGTTTTCTTGAAATCTGAAAATATGTTTATGTAAAAAAAGTTTATCCTTTCATTTTGTAATGAATCCTTTAATTTTTTTCACATTCACTCATTAAAAATAGCTAATCAGATACAATATGGTTTTAGTTGAAAAAAGTTATAATTACTGTTTAATAAAATTCTTTGGACCCCTAATGATCCGTGTATTATCCATTGATTCAATTATTCCATTTATCCGCTTGTTAATTTGTGAAGTGTTGGTGACGTATGTAATACTGTTTCCAGGTCCAAGCCGTCACTCATTTGAGTTGAGAAATTATTAGTTTATGATCACTTTTAATACGTATCACAAATTAAAGTAAATTTTATTTAAAGTCATCGTGTACACAACAATCTCTGGGCTTGCTGCATAACAAATACCAAAGTTTTAATAATTTATAAAAAAAATGAGTCATTTTCTGGCCATCGGATATTAAGCATGGATTAAATCGCTTTGTAAATGATTATAATTACCATTTGATGAGTCTCCCCATACAGTTGAATAGAGCGATTGGACCTGGAAGCCACTTCGAGTGACGTCACACTTAACAAGCGGATTCTGGAAAATGAAACATCTGAAGAAAGAAAATATTTAGTTTTTCTGTTTATTTTGAAGCCACAAAAAAGCTCATCTGTTATCTTGTTTTAACTCAAAATAGAGAATTAAAACAAACAAACTAAATAATGAGTCAAAAAACTACATTTGTTTATACATTTGATCAAAAACAAGCATTATATAAAAAAAGAAATTTCAACTTGTTGGCATGCATAAGATGCTCATTTTTTCTGCCTATTGGTCATATCTTTGCTTATCAAAACATAAAACAAGTACATATACACCTATAAATTACTCGCATATACAGTTGAAGTCAGAATCATTAGCCTTCCTTTGAATTATCTTCTTTTTAAAATATTTGCCAAATAATGTTCAACAGAGCAAGGAAATTTTCACAGTATGACTAATAATATTTTTTTCTTCCGGAGCAAATCTTATTTGTTTTATTTTGGCTAGAATAAAAGCAGTTTTTAATTTTTTTATTTTTTTTAAAAACAGGTCAAAATTATTAGCTTCTTTAAGCTAACATGCCATCGTTATTCAACAACTTGCCTAATTACCCTAACCTGCCCAGTTAACCTAATTAACCTAGTTAAGCCTTTAAATGTCACTTTAAGCTGTATAGAAGTGTCTTGAAACATATCTAGTCAAATATTATTTACTGTCAACATGGCAAAGATGAAATAAATCAGTTATATATTCAATAAATGAGTTATTAAAACTAACATTTTTAGAAATGTGTTGAAAAAAAATCTCTCCGTTTAACAGTAATTGGGGAAAAAAATAAACATGGGGGCAAAATAATTCTGACTTCAACTGTACGCCTATACTATGAGACATTCAAAACAATTTATAAGAGACTTGTAAATATACATATAAACTGGATGCATGCCTACACCCACATATGCACATACATATAAGCTTGCTACATGCAAACACACTTATACTCGCATATAAACTTGATCTATGCATATGCAGTAAACTTGATTCTCGCATATGAATATAAACTTGATGTGTGCATAAACACTAACACTCGTTCAAACATACAAAATACAAAATATTTTACAAAAAATGTTTTTATTTCAAAAACGCTTATACAATCAGTTGTGAATAAACATTCATGCAAGTGACTTCATATGAGCATGAACTTCTCAGTGTAAAAGTTTTTTGAATTGAAATAGACTGGATCAGAATGAACAGAAGATACACAGAACCACAATAAACGAGTGCAAAATAGTATTTTAATACATTATGAAGGATGCATAGTATATATGTATATTCATGTGATGGTTTAATTTGAGAGTTCACTTCCACTACTGTTGGACACCCAATGCAAGATTACATAAAGAAGGGTGCCATCTAGAGGAGGGTTATCATATAAGATACAGTCGAAAGAAATGGATCAGGCAATCTTAAGGGAGTGCTGCTATGTCATGGAATTGAATGAATAATTCAGCATAGAGTTTGACGTATGCGTATCTCCATGTTTTTCTAGTGTGATAAATTCCAGAAGGGGGTGATTGATGGTTCAGCCTGCAACAGCTTGTGTGAGAAGGACACTCTTTACTTGGGGAAGTGTCTCTCTGCCAAACCCAGCAATCAGGTCAGACACAGCAGCTCCTTAATATAGCTGTTGTGCGATTTAATGAGTGCATGTTTTCGATGATCAGGGTATATACAAAATAAACATTTGTATGCACAGTAATCATGAATCATGAGTAAGGATGGATACAATAAACCGATTGACTCTTATTAATAGATATACAAGTGTGTTAAATACATAGCAGCACAACATCAGTAATCTCTTGAACCACTGCTATTAGCATGGTTATATTTGTACATTGCAAATGATTCACTAGTTGTGTAATAGTCATGTGTGCTGCTTGTTTCGAGTAATTAGCTAAGGAGTGTGTTCAAAATAATAGCGGTGTGTAGTTTAATGAGATAATTCATTAATTCTTTGGAAAACAAAAACAGCTGCCAGGATTGTTCACCCAAAGTAAAGATTTCCTTACAATTTACTCACACTCAAGTGCTTTTTAAACCTTTAGGAGTTTCATTTTTCTGTTAAACACTAAAGATATTTGAAGAAAGCTGGAAACTTGTCACCGCTGACATCCATAGAAAGAAAAACAAGTGCTTAGAAAGTCAATGGTTAGAGGTTAATATTCAGTTTATTTGGCTCTCGTAAATAAATATAAACAAAATTCTTTAAAAAATCTCTTTGTAATCTCTTTATAACACTTTGATTTACCTTGAATGATTTACTTAGAATGTGTAATGTTTCTAGCATATTTGGGATATGTAAATAAAAACTTTAACTAAAAACTAAAATATTTGCACTTTATTCACTTTTTAAGGCACTGCTGTTAAACATGCATTATTATTATACATACAGTTTTATGCAAAACTGTGGGCATCCCTGATTATTTTCAGAATTGCCAGTCATAGGCTGCTGGCCTTTCAAATCAGGAATTTCATTTGGATATATTTTACTGATGTTCTGACATAACATTTATTTAATAAACAGTTGCAATGCAATTTAAGTCATAACAAATACAGACAGGTGGAAAAAATTGGGCACCCCAAAAGAATAATGACATCAATATTCTGTAGAGTCACCTTTTGCTAAAATAACAGCCTGCAGACGCTTCCTATAGCCAGGGATAAGTCTCTGAATTCTTGATGAAGGCAATTTGGACAATTCTTCCTTGCAAAATTTTTCCAGTTCAGTCAGGTTGGATGGGTGCCGAGCATGAACAGCCCTTTTCAAATCAATCCATAGATTTTCGATGATTTTTAAATCTAGGGGCTGGGATGGCCATTCTTGAACATTGTATCGTGTCTGAGCATGAATCTTTTGGTAGATCTGGAACTGTGCTTAGGATAACTCTCCTTCTGAAACATCCAACCCTGGCTTAACTGCCAACTGCCAACATTGTTCTTCAGAATCTGCTGATCCTGGGTGGAATCCATGTGACCTTCAACTCTGACAAGGTTTCCAGTACCTGTGCTTGCCACACATCTGCTAAGCATGGACCCTCCAACATATTTTACAGTAGAGAGCAGGTTTTTCTCCTGGAACGATGTGTTCTTTTTCCTCCATGCAAATTGCCGGTTGTGGAATCTGTCTACAGTATATTTTTCTAAAAACGAATCAGGCTTGTTCAGATGAGCCTTTGCGTACCTCATAGGACTCTTCTTGTGGCAAGATTTAGAAAAGGCTTCTTTTGCGTCACCTTCATTAAGCTGTTTTTTTGTGAAGAGTGCGCTGAACTGTGGAACGATGTGCAATGACATCATAGGCAGCAAGACGTTCCTGGAGCACTTTGGAAGTGGTCTGTAGCTTGTTTGTGACCATTCTAATCATGATTCGCCTTTGCCTTTTAGATATGTTTCCTTTTATATATTCATATATATATTTTTGTATTTATTTAGTTTCTTGCCACTATGTCTTTCACCATAACTGTCTCTGTGGCCTTCCATTTTCTTACTATATTTCTGACTGTAGAGATAGAGACCTTTGTGATTTCTTTTTGCACACTTCTCCTAATTTATGTTGGTGAATTATTCTATTTTTCAGTTCATTAGGAAGTTCTTTTGAGGTTCCCATGCTGCTACTTTCTTGTTCACAATGAGGAGAAACACAACTAGCAGTCAGCTGTCTTAAATATCTTTGTTCATGATTATTTGCACCTGTGTTAAGGTTTTTAAGGTTCACTGAGGCACTCCATTTTCACATTAATCTTGTGTTGTAATCAATCAGCATTAAGTGACTACAGACTTTGAAATCCACACAAAACAGAGGGGGCCCAAAATTTGTTTCAGCCTATTTTTTTGGTTTTAATTTAATTTCACACATGGTAATTAAGCTACACTATGTATATCTGTCCGAAAAACATGACATTATCTAGCTTTCTTTAGAAACCAAATGGCATATCTCTTATAAAAAAAGAGCACACAGAGGGGTGCCCAAACATTTGCATAAAACTGTATACATTATTCTTATACGTATGCATTATTATCTAATGTTGGTATTCTTCTTCTTTTTTTCTTCTTTTTCTTTCGAGCAAATGCTCATCATATTAAAAATATTTGTAATTACTTCAAGAATGCCATGAGTAATAGTGTGGATAATGAACACAAAGGTCACGTGTCACCTTATTCATTTAGGTCTATTCTGGCAGTTGGGGTGACATGGAAGGGATCATTAAGTGCCAGATGAAGGAAGACCCTCATTATGATCTGGGTTTTGAACTGGAGCCCCGAAAAGAGTCTGCCTCCTTCAGCAGGCCAACCAAAGGCACATCAATGCAGAAGTTCAAAGAAATGGTTTTCAACCATCTAAAGGTGTAACATCTATCTATCTATCTATCTATCTATCTATCTATCTATCTATCTATCTATCTATCTATCTATCTATCTATCTATCTATCTATCTATCTATCTATCTATCTATCTATCATCTATCTATCTATCTATCTATCTATCTATCTATCTATCTATCTATCTATCTATCTATCTATCTATCTATCTATCTATCCATCCATCCATCCATCCATCCATCCATCCATCCATCCATCTATCTTTCTATCTTCCACCCACCCATCCACCCATCCATCCATCCATCCATCCATCCATCCATCCATCCATCCATCCATCCATCCATCCATCCATCCATCTATCTTTCTATCTTCCACCCACCCATCCACCCATCCATCCATCCATCCATCCATCCATCCATCCATCCATCCATCCATCCATCCATCCATCTATAATGATGCTGCATGGTGTTTACAATTTTTTACTTTTTTACTGTAGCACTAATATCAATTTATCCATTCCTTGGACAACATATTTGGAAGCTGCAGCTTATAATAATTATAATAATAATAATAATAATAATAATAATAATAATAATAATAATAATAATAATAATAATAATAATAATATAGGCTTATCAGAAAGACCAACAATGGCAGTAAAAACCCAAGATAACTGACATTTTAACTGTCAAAATGGCAGAAATCCTAAATAAATTATTAGATGAATGAATGTTTGGCAACTGAAGACTATAAAATTATTTGTTGAAATTATAATATAAGATAAACACAGTTTGACAACAATAACAACAGCTACAAAATAATAATAGTAGCTAATAAGTAGTGAAAATATTAAAGATGTTTTAGCCATCAAGATATGGAAAAATTAATGGAAACTTGTGATTATATTAAATATTATTAATATTTAAAAAATCTTGTTGGTAACGTCTACAAACAAACAATTTTGTATGTAAAGGCAAAAAACTTTTTTACACCCAAAAGTGAAAATTCTGTCAATAATGAATAACATCAATTCAAAGCCCTGAGACGGAGAATCTTTGATTTTTTATTTCATTTTCTTTTCGGCTTAGTCCCTTTATTAACCTGTAGTCGCCACAGCGGAATGAACCGCCAACTTATCCAGCATATTTACACATGGGATGCCCTTCCAGCTGCAACCCATCACAGGGAAATAAGAATCTTCGTAAACAAATTAAAGATATTTTTGGATAAAACCTGAGAGCTCCCTCATCCTCCATACACAGCAGTAATCTAGACTCAATCAAAGAACAGAAAGGGACAAAAAGCATTGTCAAAACAGACCATTTGTCTTCAGTGGTTAATATTATATAATTATATAATATTATAATTATAATAATATAATAAATTCCCAATATTAAACTACGACAATACTTTTCTGCACACAAAAAAACATAATGTTTTACTAATCAAATTCTTCTGTTAGTATACATTAGTGTCACATTCATATATTTGTTTATATGCTCAAACATGTATTTCTGTAGCTGGATAATATGATTGAACCACTGAAGGCGCATGGATCTTTTCTGTTTTGAGGATGTTTAGTCAGAAATCTTGCTGTCTGTGGAGGATTAGGAAGCTCTCAGATTTCATCTTAATTATCTTAATTTGTCATCTGAAGAGGAACGAATGTCTCTGGGTTTGGGAAGACACAAGGACGAGCAATTAACAACCTCATTTTCCTTTTTGGATGAACTAACATTTTAACTCCACTCACCTACGTTTTTTTTCTTGCAGGCAAAAGTAGGAGACCAAGCAAACTTAGCAGATCTGTTGACCCTGGTGCTGGGAGTCGCCGACAGCAACAAGGATGGAGAGATTTCACTGTCAGAAGCGCATTCAGCCTGGGCTTTACTGCAGCTCAATGAATTCCTGCTGTCCGTGGTGCTGCAGGAGCGAGAACACACTCCCAGACTGCTGGGCTTCTGCGGGGACCTGTACGTGATGGAGAAGGTGCCTTATGTGCCCCTGTATGGTGTCAGCCTGCCATGGATGGTGGAGCTGTGGATTCCGGCTAGCTTGCGGCGAAGCATCGACCAGTGGGCCACCCCGTCCTGGCCTCGCAAAGCCAAGATCGCCATCGGCCTGTTCGAACTGGTCGAGGACGTCTTCCACGGCACATTCGGGAGTTTCCTCATGTGTGACGTTAGCGCTGCGGGGTTTGGTTATACAGAGCGCCACGATATAAAGGTGGTAGACGCAAGGCAGATTGTGCCTGAAGTTGGTTTTCAGGAAGTGATGCGCGAGAGGCGCTGTGAAGAAGACACTGATTGTTTGTATGGAAGGGACTGCTTTACTTCATGCGATCTTACTAAACACCGCTGCACAACAGAGGTTACACAACCCAATCTGGCTAAAGTATGCAGCACATTGAAGGACTATATTCTGTACGGCGCGCCATCAGACATTAAAGACGAACTGGATAAACAGTTGTACGCTTGCATTGCTCTCAAAGGTGCCAGCGAACAGATGGAAATGGAGCACTCGCTGATTCTCAACAACCTCAAAACTCTTCTTTGGAAGAAGATATCACACACTAAAGACTCCTAGTAATTTATCAAACTCAAGTTGTTGTTCTTATATATACATCGTACACTCTCAGAAATAAAGGTACACGAGCTGTCACGAAAGCTGTCACTGGGTGGCACCTTTTCAAAAGGAATACATTTGTATCTTAATGAGCCATGAAACCCCCCACTTTCAGTTCAAGTCTACCTCAGAATTATTTTTAAAAAATGCATCATAATGGGCGTGGAGCTTTGCCAGCAGAGGAAGGAGTGGGCGGGGCCAGCAAAGCAGGGGAGAAAGAAGGGAGCGAACAGCTGTTGTCAGCTCACAAAATGAGACACAAACCCTGAGACACATGATTTTATAGTTTACAAAGTTAAAATGCAAAGAAATAAACAGTATTTAATGCCCTGCTACATTTGTTATTTGTAGTTTCATATACACATAACCACAATTTTTATCATTATAAAGATAATCGTGTATATAAACAGTCGCTAATGGAGACTTCCCTCAATCCCGGTCTAAAGACTCGGTGCAGCAGGTCTCTTCCCCTGCCTTTTTTAATCTGGAGGATTTAGGTGAACACAGCAGCACGGCGGTGTCTAAACGTGAACAAACTTAAGTGATAAAAGACAAAGTTCGCTATTCTCCAATTCTCGTACTGCTCTCCTGACAAAAAAATACTTGCAGAACACATACAGCTTTGCTGTATCGGCCCTGACAGGATCGTGGGAAAAAAACCATGCAACAAACCCTGTGTATCATGGAAAGAAACATACGACCCTTCACGAAAGGCTAAATACAGTGTACCGTGGGTCCGTAGACATGGTCTTACCCAGTCATCAACATAGGGTCTCACAGCTTGGCACTGGCAAGTCTGTCTTGCCTTCGGAAAGCACGCGCATTCATGAAGAATTAAGCCGGCTCTTCTCATAGAATAAGAAAACTCTTCTAGGAATAATATTGAGAAACCGACGAGTCATCACTTCACTTGCAGTTTTGCACAACGTCACTGATTTTGATCCCGCCCCAAAAATCATTTTAAACCCAAAAGAAATAATTCAGCATGTATTTGTTCAAACCAAATAAAAATCAATGTTTAGTTTAAAAACACCTTTCAGGTAAGTTATTTTTCACATACTTGTATTGTACAACATACAGATTTGCCATAAAAATGTCTAAAATTAATGTAGATTAATGAATAAAACAAACAAATGAACAAACTGAACAAAATACAGACCCTAATAATATCATTTATCCCTGCTCCTTTTTAAGCCGCAATATATGAATACAGATTCTTCTATTGATGTACCTTTTTGCAAAATACACCCACAAAATCTGATTTTTGGCCCTTTTAAGTCAATCAGCAAAACAGTGGAGTTGCTAAATAAACTAGATTCTGAAAAGCTGATTTCAAATCTATTTTTTTTCTTTGCATTGGTGTTTTTCAATCAGATAAAACAACTTTTCCTTTCAAAAATAATAATTTCCTAATAAAATGTGTGAATCAGCTACGTCAGTGGCACTGATCAATTCACAGTGATTTAGTGGCTGCGTTTTATTTATTAATTTATTTATTGAAAATATTGTAATTTTACATAAGTACATTTAAATTGATTATATCAACAACTAAATCCTATTGGGGGGGTCACCCTTGGGTGCGCATCTGCCTTTAAGTACAAATGTGTACAAATGCGTACCTTTATTTCTGAGAGTGTAGAACACAGAACAGACAGAATGGGACAATCTGACTGAAATCAGACCATGTATAATTTGCCTAACTACTTGTCTTTATTTTTAGCCTGTATTTGCAGACTGCTGTCTATAGACTTAGTAGCACCTCGTTTTGTTCTATTACTCAGTCTTGACTCAATCCCAAATTATAAAAGCTTATCCTGCAGAGAGATGCTGCCTCTAATGCATGTTCTCCACTGCCAAGAGAAAATGCCAAATTGTTCTTCTTCCTGCAGAGCCTTGTTCAGGAAACAAGACAATCAAAAGGTGCCTAGTTCAGTATTTTTTCAAAAGAGGAACCCCATTCTGACAGGAGCAGACCTTGCTGATATAGGCTCACCTCAGGGTACTATAGGAGCCTTTATAGGTGGACCATATGTGTTTTATCGTTTGTAGCAGGGATAGTTTGTTTTTAAAAATGTCTGTATGAAACACTTTTCAAAATTGTTTTATTTTTTAATGCACTGTTGTATAGATGTACCATCTAAAATATGATTTTTAAGGACTAGTTAGAAATTATAAAATCAATCTAATTTATTTTTTGACAGCCCTGTTTTGTTGTGCACACATATAGGGAGTCAAAAAAGATTCACCAAACAGTAAATAGTATTTATTGTTTTAATCTGCTTGTGGCTTATGTAATTATGGGTACATTTCAGATATTTTACTTAAACTGGAATGATATACAATAAATCGACAACTTTCTATTTATTTACAATAAACTGAATCTGGTGATGTAAACAATAAAAAAAAATACTTAAATATGATAGGGAACATTTGAAGTTATTTTACAGGGTTGACATTTTGTACTATGTTGTGCTTTAGCTCAAGATGCTAACTAACATACAATGCCTAAAACAATATTTTATGTATGAGAAATTAATTGAAATATCACCGTAATGCAGTTAACATAATTAATCTACCATTGCTGAATTCAAAACAATCTGTACAAATTAATGAGACATGCCTCAATGCCTTCCACAGTTTCTTGTCAGTGGAAGTGCCATCACTTGAAGCAAGTCAAGTAACGGTTTTACAGATTGGTATGCTTTTTTTATAACCATTATAACAGAGTTGACCAGAAGGTACTGTAAATGGTTTAACACTAAAATTATAACACTAAAAATATAGATGTTTCATGCAGGTTTAACTTAGTAAATACATAAAAAAAGATACAAATTACATTTCATGATTGAAGCTGAACGTATGATCCAGGAGGCAAAGTAAAAAAATAGGTACACATGGAGTCTTCAATATTTCTTTAGTATATTATTACAGTTTATCTTGTTTGTTTTGACCTGATTAAAGAAACTAGGTTCCACTTCATTTTCACTATCACTATCCCAGCAGAGCAGAAGACCGGTCTTGCAAATGTGTAAACCCTTTCTCATTGGGTTGACACATTTTCCCCACCATTTTTCAAAACAGTTAACACGCATGTTATTCAAGCAGTATAAACTCCATTGTTTTAGCTATAGTAACCAAACAGAAACCATCTATTCCTAACCATTAGAAACTACCAAGATCAGTATGAATTCACTAAAGCACCGATTTGACAGTCCACACAAATCTTCACTTAGCAATCAGTCTGCAAACATTAAAAACAGTGGAAGGTCTGTGTTGTTCTGTGCCAGCATGGATGCAGGAGGTCAATAGTGGCTATGTTCTATACTCCCAATAGATTTGACAGTGTATTGGTTTACATGTGTTTTCTGTAATATTTACAGTATTTTATAACTTTTTTTTCTGTTTTTTTTTTTAACAGTATTTCAGTTTTCAGCCACAGTTTGAAAAATGGCATGAATTCAATATAAGTTTAATCAAAGCATTTCTTATTCTGGATCAAAGCGAAGTTTCACAAACTAATTTCGAGAGGAGCACGTCATATGATTGTGCACTGCTGGCCAGTAATCAGTAATAATCCAATCAGAATGATCCTAGCTTAATATAAATGGATCACTTTCTCCTTATTGCTCAAATCTTCTTTTTGGAAGAATCCCCCCTTCCACCCCATCTCCTCCTTTTTCTCCTCTTCTAAAGGAACCTACCTGATCTCGGATCCCCTGATATGCTTCTAGACCGGGCGGGAGCCCTGGGCTCAAATTTCTCTGAGCTCAGGGTTCTCTCCCAGGACAGCATGCCAAACCTGCTATAAATGCCAAGCATATCTAAGTGGGAACTCTTGAATTCTTTGCAAAAAGTCATATTTGACAGCCCAAACAAAAAGACAACAACGCCAATGGCAAGCAATGGTGCACTGATTCACACTGAGTTCTGTATTTAGTTTTTTGTTGTCCATTGTGTAATGATTGATTGAAATAGTTCATATACTTGTTTGCAAGTTGTGTTGTTTGAAGGTAAAACTAGCTTTTGTGGCATATTTTAAATGTTTTGACACGGTATGTGCATTGTGCAAGCATAAGGTTTCATTTTGACCATGAGTGCTGCTGTTTAGGCCTGTGTGTTAACCGTTTTGAAAAAGTGGAATTTCAGTGGACGGCTGCATCAAAGCAAACAAGAAAAACTGTAAGACTACGTATCTCAATAATCTACATCTAACTTATCCAACCGTTTCTTTGAGGTTTTTGAAAAATAATATATTTAGAAAATGCAATATTTACCTTTCTATATGCACATACAAAAAAAAAGTTAATTTTAAATTAAATCAATTTTATTTTTGATGGCCCTCATTTCAAACCTAATTAGCTTTAGCACTATATTAACTTTTACAAGATGTAAGATAAGCCTTTGGTGTCTCCAGAATGTCTGTAAAGTTTCAGCTCAAAATAGTCATCAGATAATTTATTATAGCCTCCAGAATCTGCCCATTTTGTTGTTTGAATACATTGTAGCAGTGTTTTGTAGCCTGTGGCTTTAAATGCAAATGAGCTGCATCTCTCCACCCACCTTGCATGTGTACTTTTTCACGCTTATGTCAGATAAACAGCAGTCAGTGACAGACTCGGACTAAGCTGAAGTACAGCTCATTAATCAAAAAGTTCATGTATTTGTATATTTTGTGGTATTTATACAAACCTTTCTGAAACGAGTCACACAAAAATGCCTTTTACAGTACACACATACACACGCAAATATTAGCATTTTCTGACATCATGCAGCTGTAGTGATAGCAGTTTTAGATGTCAATTAGATGGCACATTTATGGTCTTAATGTTTTGAACTTACACATTTGTATAAAACCACATTGCAGTGGGCCTCAAAAGCACTAGGATTTGAGTCATATTTAAACATCAGAAAATTAAGAGAATCATTTAGATCAATCCAAAATAACACTATACCTACACACAGTTCTGTCCAAACAGCTTAGAAAAGTTGATTCTCATCATAAATGTGTCCATTTATAAACAACTTAATGGGACCTTGACATTAGAAATTTTGAACAGACTTGCTCTAGGCTGCAGAAGACAACATTTATATTTTAAATTATTTTTACATTCCAATTTCAAAATGATCTGCAAGTTATTTGCATAAATTACATTTTCAGACTTGACACAAATTTAAGTCAAAACCGTTACACTGCTGCTGTTTTGTAACGGCTCAATCTTCAAATTGAGGTCATAGGTTTTAAAAAGGCAGGATGTGCACAAAATGGCTTTATTTTAAATGGTAACATTTGCATGTTTTATTAAATATATTTTGTACTAATCGAACTAGCACCCTTATACAAGTTAGGACTCAGGGATCTTTATAATTTTTGCAATTTTAAAATTTGAAGGTGTTAATCCACTCATTCAGAGAAGTGTTAACTGCAGTAAAGCTTTCTGAAAGATTTAAGTTATTGGTAGTTTCCTTAATTCTAAAATGCTGCTGGTCTCCTGATACAGTTCTATTACAAACAGAAAAGTACAGGCTGTGAATTTCTTGCACCAACTATTTTACCATTTTAAAAATAATCAGACAAACAAAATAATCTTTTCTTTTATATTTATTAGAACAAATGATTTTTGCACAAATACAAAGAGGAAAGCAGGGTCGAGCTCTAGTCCTCCTCTGCAGCTTGTGCCCGAAGGAAACTGGCCTTCTTCTGGGCAACACGGTCTTTCCTCTGAGCCAGTGTGAGCTTGGCACGGTTCCACCTACAAAAAGAAACTCAAATTTAGCACAAATGTCCTCCCAGAGAAAAGTCCTCCAGCTATAGCACTACACTGACTATTTATTGAGAGACCAACCATGTTTTCCCTGACCAGCATTAGTTTAGATCATTGATTCACTCAATCCAAAACTGAAATTCAGTAATGTTTTTGCAGTCTAGCAGAGAATATATTGCTCATTCTAGAAAAAAAAGCTCCATAGTAGACCATTTAAAGCCACCACTCCTAAAAGTTTTTCTAACACTAAATGTACGATTAACCAAAACTGCTCTCAGCCCCGTCTTGAAATATGCTTGCATCAACTGTGCAAATGTAGGACCAACTACAATTTGCTCAGTCTGAAAGGGTATCATCATCAAGCAGCAGGACAGTAATTGTGGATGTCAAGTGTCAGTTTATCCATTAGACCAAATCAAAATACTTAAAGAAAAAAAAAAAAGCAAAAGCAACCTTGTCAGGCTGTGATTTTCACACAAAGCAACCATATGAAAGACCCACCTCTTCTTCTTGACTTCCCGCTTGGGCTTCTTTTCGTGCACTGGGTTCTCTCTGATTGCTGCATGGGCCTTTTTGTACATTTCCTCCATCTGACAAAGATAAAAACAAATAACTGAATACAATAAAATGGTCACAAGCTTTATAAGCTTATGTTATTGATCAGCTGGGCTTTATGCAATAGACAAAACAGGTGACTGATACTTTAATTAGAAAGCCAAGGATATTTACATGTCAGTGTTTCCCCAGACCTACTGCTATACATCTCCAAACTTCTAATCAAACACCTGAAAGCAATATGCCCGTTCAGTCAGTGTGTCAATTATAACCTTGCCTGCCTTTCATGCATGAAACATACCACACTCAAGTTTGTCCTCCTTATTAGTCAATTTCTGACAGACCAACAGGTCAGCTAGTTCAACAGCGCACATCTCAAATTCAAGCAGACAGCTCCCAAACTACCTTGACATGTTTATAAAACAACACAGTCCACAAGTCCCCAAATGCCAATGGTATCCTTACTTGATAGGCATTGTGTATGACAGAACATTGCAATTGACGTTCTTGCTAAAAGAATATAGCCCTATGGGATGATCACATCACATCTTTTGTAACTCAAGCTCATTCGAAATAGGTGCGGCAAAATCTCAAATCCATTGAGAGGTCTTAACTTGCACTTCCTAACTTTCATTCACCTGTTCAGAGTGGCAGTTCTCATATCTCCCACATGTTGGTTCTGTGATTCCAGAAGCCAGAGTGCTCGCATGTAGCACCAGTCACTTTCATTTTAACAAGAAAGCATACCTAAATTTGGTTCTTACTGATGGGCAGAGATGTATAAAGTACTAGAGAACCAGATTTAAGTAAATGTACAAGTGCTCTTTCAAAAAAAAAAAAGTGACTCGAGTAGAAGTTGAAGTGCTCTTTAAGCACCATACATAAGTGGAAGTACTAAAGTATTCAACATTTTTTGTACTTGAGTATTGCAAGAAGTTTTTCAAAAATAACTGAAATACTGAAAAGTAAAAAGTACAAGTATTGTGTAATGTAGTCATTAAAGAAAGCAGTGTAAAGAAATCAGTTTTGTTCATTTAAAATCTTTTTTTGGGGCTAGAGATTAAGCAGAACGAAAAGAAACAAGGCTTACAATTTATTTGAAC